TCAGGTATTTTCCGAACTTTATGTTTGAACATCGGCTTCGGCATTCCAGCATTGGCCTGATTATCTACAGCTCGTCCGGCTCTAACAGGGGTTTCCACTGAACCAATTTAATGCTTCGTCTCTCAGAACGTCGTGGTTTTGCACCATGTGGAACCTGGTTATTCTGAACCAAGTCCCCAGCCTACCAGCATTGAAATACGTCCCACCATGTGTGTGATCCAATAGTCTTCTTCTTTTGACTTAGTTAGAATTGCGGGCAAACCCTTTCCAGTGCCACTGATAATCTATCAGTGTCTTCTCGCCGGAGGCATCCGCATTCGACGTTCGAACACTGTAGTATGACCCGGAGATTCTCTCGAACCGCTTAATGTAGTGCACCAGTTCGTGTGTGTTGCTATAGAGGCGGCTGCTCACTCCTTCAACAAAGAGATTGGAAACGCTAACCGTGTATCTGTCGGTGTGGCAGGACCACTGGAGGTCTCAACGAGCATATGGGTAGTAGCGGTATTTGAAGGTATAGCGAAGGTGTCGTATCCAGAATGGTAGGCGGCACTAGGTTCCGAATTTGCCTGTCACTGTGGCAAGCCACAGGATGCCTGCGCCTACAGAGGGACCGTGGGTGGCTTGCACTGCACCACCCACAGCTCCAACCACACACTCCATATGCAGTGTAAACCCGAAGGAATAAGACCGGGAGGCATGTGGATTGGAGCCACGTTTCATTAACGGAGCCGGCCCACACTCCTTCACAGGAAAAAACAAACACGCTGTATTTGGGAATCAAGCGCACACAGGGCGGTGGCTGGACCGTAGTCCGCTCTAGACTGAGTGCATGGAACCACTCTTTGATCCTAACACGGCCACAAGGACCGTGCACCCTGTCCCCTCCAGCAAGGACCAACTGTTTCCTGGAGCCAGTATGGACGAGGTAGTGGGTAATAGACATGTAGGCACCTTGTCAACATGCACATCAAGCGCAGCCACACCGGGGATATCAAGCAACAGCCAATCACTTAAGAAGAAGATAACAAAGAAAAATAATCGAGTAATGCATAACGAAAGGGTGACGTATACCTTAAAGTAATGAGCATATGAAGTAAGTTGTTTACAGAAGCATGGAAGATAAGTTCGCGAGGTCAGAAAGTATACTTTACGGAAATGCCACCAACACGAAAGTGTTATCGAAATCGACTAAAATTGGCTTAAGTGACATGTGCAAGTTTGTAGAAGAGAGTACAGGTAGACGTGTGTACGAGAAAGAAAGGCATTAGGACAAAACTTAAAACCCAACATCACCTGAAATAAAGAGATTACAGATGCTGCGCTGGTTCTGCCTACGTTCTCTGCAGGACACGTCGTCGCTTCGGTAGTGGTCCCGAGTGGCCTCGCTCATGGTTCTCTAAGCCTGCCTGACTCAGGCACTCGCGACCGCATGTACTACAGCACCATGCGCTTGATGTCGATGGAGAACAACCCATCGGTGCTTGCCGCTTCTTCTCTGCATGTGTGAGGGCTTTCTCCTGCACCTCGGCAACTGCCTTCGTGATCAGATCGCGCCATGCGCGCCAATCAACCGCCCTCGATTCCCATGATCTGCAATCAAGGTTAGAACGTGTGAGGCTCACTTTAATCATGTCCTGGTAACGTATTTTTAGTTTCCCCACATGCCGCTTCCCTATACTCAGCTGACCATATAATACTTGTTCCGGTATCCGCGTGGAATCCATACGGCTCACATGGCCGATCCACCTCAGGTGCCTCAATAAAAGTATGCATTCCACTGCATACATCCCACTTCGGCGCAACACTTCCGTGTCTGCAACTCCGTTACCCCAGCCGATGCGCAAAATCCGTTGTAAACACTGCTGATGAAACCGCTCGAGATATCGCACATCCTGCCGGTATATCGTCCATGTTTCACTGCCGTATAGAAGAACGAACAGCACCATGGATTTGTACACCTCAGCTTCGTACCAATGCTAAGCTGATGGTTGTTCCACACTCGGTACTCAAGCTTCCCGAATGCCCCGCTGCCTTCGACACGCGGATACGCAGCGCACTGTGTAGCTGCTGATCAGTCGACATCACACTCCCAATGTAGCAAAAGCGGGAGGTAGTTTCTAATACTTTAGCACCAATGCTGATTCGCGGCAATATTGAAGCTTGCACCTCCGATAAAGTCTGAAATAGACAGAAAGTTTTGCTTGTGTTGATGGTGAGCCCTGCTTTTGCCGCTGTCGAAGCCAGATCACTAGTCATGTGCTGCAACTCATTCGCGCTGTGTGAAAACAACGCACAGTCGTCAGCGAAGAGCAACATACGGATAGTTGTCGCACAGACTAGAGTTCTCGCACCGAAACGAAGGATGTTCAGCAAACCATCATCAACGCGGTGCTCCACAACTACATAGTAAGCACAAACCGCATCAAAAGCACAATATGACATTGTATGAAGATATATGTTAAACAGGGCAGGAGCTAAGACACAGCATTGCTTCATGCCAGAGACAAAGTCATCCGAGATCTCTCCAATCAGCTGCACTCTCTCTCGCATACAACTGTGCAGACATCCAATTAAACTTACAAACTTACGCGGGCAACCAAACTTACCCAACATCAGCCACAATGCCTCGCGGTTCACCGTATCAAATGCCTTGGTGAAGTCCACAAAAAGCGAGTACCATGGCTGGTATCGTTCTCTGCACTTCTCCTGCAACTGACGAGCCGCAAACACCATATCTATAGTGCTACGACCGGAGCGGAATCCACACTGCTCTTCCGCCACGTTAGGTTCCACAACCTGACTGACGAGGCGCTTGAGCAGGATTCGGGCAATCACCTTGTCCACACAACTCAGCAAGTTGATGCCACGATAATTCGTGCAACATTGCTTGCTCCCTTTGCCCTTCTACAGTAGTAGCACAAGGGCATCCTTCAGCTCAGGATGCACCTCCTCTTAATCCATAAGCGTTGCACCAAGTGGTGCAGCGCAGTCAACAACGCGGGTCCTCAGTGTTTCAGAACTTCAGGCGGGACCCCGTCGGTTCCGGCACACTTGCCGTTTCGCAGATGCGTAAGTGCTCTCTGCGTCTCATCCAGTGTCAGCGTGTCCGCCAGACTCGCCTTCACATCGTGCTGCTTCAGGCCGTTCAATGTAGACCAGTCGGTCTCTGAAAAATTGTTCAAGAGACAGTCAAAGTGTTTTCGCCAGTTCTGCATTATGTCTGCAGTCTGTGTGCAGGTAGCGCCTGAACTACCATCGATCAGTGTCCCCAGCGGCTCCAATCTCGGTCCATACACCGACTTCAAGGAGTCAAAGAATTCCTTGTGTTGGCGGCGTTCGGCGTAGCATTTCATCTGCCTCGACTTCTCCGTCCACCATGAATTTTTAACGCGACGGAGCTCTCGGGTCAGTCGCCGTCGAAGTTTGCGAAACTGACTACTCTTCCCCAAGTCACTGGGGTCTGCCACATGTGCAGCAAATGCTGCATTCTTCTCTGACACCAATGCGTCAATCGTCGCATTGTTCTCATCAAACCAAACAGACCGCTTACAGTTTGCGCGCCCAATGGTCTGCTCTGCAGCAGCTGTCATCCAGTCTCGAATGTGGTTCCACAGGTCGCCCACTGTGGCTATGCGTTCCACATTACACAGGCGTGCAGCCATCGCCTTCTCCAGCTCAGTACGTTTCGCCACAGTACCGAGGGAGAGAATGTTAAATTTACGCCGATTTACGGCGGGAGTGCAATACATAGATTTACGAAAATATACGTTCATTTTGGTCCGCACCAATTTGTGATCAATGCCACACTCAGCTCTACGCAATGCACGTGACATGAACACTTCACACATATCACGCTGACGTACGATGACATAGTCGAGCAGGTCAGCGTGACCACTCCGTGGGTGCGTCCAAGTTGCTATATCACTCGCACTCAGTGCAAACCGAGTGTTCGTGATCGTCAGTCGTGTGTGGCATACAGTGAGAGCAGCCTGTCACAGTGCACATTCGCTGAGCCAATGCCATGCGCACCGATAACATCTGTCCAAGCTGAAGCATCATACCCAACGCGGGCGTTGAAATCACCCAGCAGAAATAGTCGGTCGCTCCTCGGCACAGACCGTATCACGGATGATAACTAAGTGTAGAATTGATCAGGCGTGTCATCAGGATAACACATGGTCGGACCGTACGTGCTTATAAAAGTAGCAAACTTACCTCTTCCGAGTCGTAGGCGAACAGTCATCAGTTGCGCGCTGATAATTGTTGGTTCACTCACCAGCTGGCTATGGAGGCGATCGGATATTGCAAATCCGACCCCATGTTCACGTGGTGCTGAGGCGGCGTTGCCCACCCAGTAGCATGTGTAGCCAGCACCTGCTTCATGCAACTTACCTTGCTCAGCCAGTCGGGTTTCACTGAGCGCCGTAATATCGATGTTGTAGCGCGCCAGTTCCATCGCGACGAGTGCAGTGCGTCGCTCCGAGTGCTCGCTAGAGTTACGTTCCAGCAGTGTGCGTAGGTTGCAGCACCCGATGCTGAGTGTTTTGCGCGCAGGCATACGATTGCACTGGTGGGCAGTCGCACGCGAACTAGTCGTTGAGCTTCGCAGGTTTGCTTGAGGGACTCCACCCGGAGCCTTCGCCTCAATAGCCTGACCCACAAAGCAGTGGGTGGTTTGTAGGTTTTCTTGAGGAACTCCGCCCGGAGCATTTGGCTCAACAGCCTGACCCACAAAGCCTGGGGCGCAGATCCAGCTCGAGAATATGATTGCATAGACAGTTTGGGATCTGTTTGACGGCCATCACACGCAGCAATGTGCTACCATTAACCGAAATCCGAACAAAATATTGCAAATGGAAGTTTAGTAGAAGCAATGGCAATAGTACATCGGCAGTCCACACTGGGTACAGAGTAACTGTTTGGTGTCTAAACCCAATCGGATATAACACAAGCCCAATACATGCAGTGTAAGCGAATACCTATCTTTGTCTGCATCGTCACAACACTTTCGATGAACAGTGCTTGGAACCTACCGCGTGTTGCATGCTGCATTTGAATCCCCGTGGGAAATTTTTAGTCTCCGCTGAACCCTTTCGTGAATGAGTGCCGCTTCTTTTCTCCGGACCTGATTCCCAGTTTTTTATTTGCACTTCTTGGTGTGAGTAGCCATTTTCTAAATGCGTACGAGCCACCACTGCATTCGAGCGATTCTGGTTGGGATCATTTGAATGGGCGTGATGCGTTACTTGCATGTCAAATGTCGGGGCCGAGCAGATTGTGGCGACGCTTGCTTCCGAGGGTGAGCTCCCCAGCTCACCGTCACTCAGTGCCAGGGTACCCGAGGGATGGAAGTGTAGCCTGACACGTTTGTCTTCGAATAGGAGTTGGGATGTGGGCGCTTTAGTTGCACATCCTGCTTTCATTTTCCACTTTATCCTTTCGTCATGGGCTGTTGAATGGTGCTGAGAAGCTTCACCGTCATTCTGAGTTAACCTGTACATAAAATGCGAGTTAGTGAGGAGTCTGATGCGCTTCATGGCTTCTTCTCTATGCTATGGTATAAGACTAACGTCGACATTCTACTGCATCTTGCAAAGCTACAATTCTCGCTTGATTGATTAATGGTGGTTCTAACGGCTAACGTTAAAATGCGGCAAGTTAAAGACGGAGAGGGTAAAACAGGACCCATAATTAAATAGTTATAGCAAATAAGTAATTATGGGGTTCAGTAGCCCTAGAGGCTCTTCCTAAAGTGAGACAACTAAAGAGTTATAGGTCTTCACGTCCACATTTGAATCATTCATAGGTAAACTACAGGCAGTATACAAATCACATTGGATAATGAAGGTGAGCTGCTTAGAATGTTTACGTTGAACGTATTTTTTTCTCCAGTATGTTTGAAGGTTGCTGCCCAAACTTCACCTTCTGCTGTTCTTATGACATTCAAAGATACGGCATAAAGAATGGTTGGTAGAATGTTCATCATTAAGCAATATTATACTAAAAGATGGAAATCTATCACAAGGTGAACCCTAATTTCTAAACTATTGATGCCATGAGGGCAAATTTGACCGAACTGCGTCAAGGTGGCAAACAAGATAAGTTCGTTGTTGCTTAAAAACAACTTGTTAATTCTCGACGGTATGGTAAAGAGATTACCAGGAATAGAAATAGCATCATTTGATAAATACATGATACGGCATATTATATCGTTGAGCCTGCGTTTGAAGCTATAAGAAATAACCATAACGCTGGGAATTAGTATAAGCTGATAAATTGATTGAAATGCGGTACAGATTGGGGACGATTTGAACTCAATGCAAATAGAAGCAGAATAGTGACACTCAGCGTTGTTGATCCTAATCGCCGCCTTCAACTATGCATCTTCAACCATTAAGTTCAGTAGAACTGAACTCGGAGAAAGACGCAATAACGAATGGAAAAGCCAAAGGTAGCCCTTATCCTTCAGGCTATTCATATTGACATGTTTTCTCGAGTATATGACAGATTCCCTCGGGGTAAAATGTGGTAAGTAAGATTACAACTGCTGATTCATGCTTTTCTTTGCTCATTAAATTGTGGAAAAAAAGTCGAGGAAAGGCGAGTTAAGTAACGGCGGAAGGAGAAATCAGTGGTACGCACCCTTTTTTGAAGAACTGAAGTACTTAGGTTTGCATAAGCCAACCGTTGTCATTGACCTGAGGTAGAAATTACAGCTCCGTTTGCAATACTGCTGCAGCAAACATATTCACAGGAACACATGTTCCGCTCCCTGGTGGGCAACAATCAGCATGGAGAAAGCGGCTGTGAATAGGGAGTCAAGGCACTAATGAAATAAGCCATAGCCCTACTGAACAGCTTTGCATGGTCTTGCTTTGTCATTAGCTCTACAATATCAGTTTCACAGCAAGCCTTTATTCAGGTTTCAGGTTGCTAAGCTTTGGGCGAAATGAAACTGTGAGTAAATACTGTGCATCCAAAAGACACTCCAAACTCCGTCCAATGCTCCACACAGTTGAGTACGCACTAATATGGAATAAACTGCTTTCAGGAATCGGAATAGCCTTACCCTCCATCGGTTTAAGATGCTAAGAAAGCACCTAGAAGGCGCTAAAATCCTTTTAATGTTTGACCCTACAACCCCCTATGATGCCGAGTACGAAAAACATCCCGAGATTCTGTGGAACTGTGCATACAGGTGATGTTAGCTGTTCAGTAATGCTATAGTCTATTTCATTAGTGACTTCACTCTCTATTCCATGTTAGTGTATACTCAAGGGGTAGAGCATTGATCGGAGTTCGAAGTGTTTTTGTGATTCACAGCATTCTCTAATTGTTCCAAAATGCCCAACGCTTAGCTGCCTGAGACCGGAATATAGGCTTGACTGTGAAAATCAAACTGAGGCGCTAATGATAAAGCAAGACCATACTAAGCTGTATCCTACATAGGCATTGTGGGTCCAAATGTGATGCATTGTGGCGTTCACATAATTTATACCTGTAGTCGAATTTAAAAAATCTTTGTAAAAATGAGTTGAATGCCCTCTATGGCAAGAATATCTACTTTAGGTAGGTTAGCATATGTAAGTGGGTAGCATTCGAGTCATAGTTTTTCTTACAGTTTGGAAGCCTCCAATCTAATTTCCTTCAGGGTAAGTGCTCTACCGGTATATTCAGCCACTTTCCTGGAGTTCGCATAGTTTATAGTGTGCTTGGAAGGAAACCGCGCCGATTGTACGCAAAGGGCTTGTAGCACATTCACGCCGTCTACCAAGCACCATACGCTAGTCGGGGGCGCATCTGCGCGTAGTTTAGTGGAATCGTGAAATTATGCCGTTGTTTCAGGATTGGAGCGAACCCATTTCTCAGAAACTAGAAACGGCGTATCAATGTTTAGTAGACAGCATTAGGACTGTCTGACACCTATGACGTGTCCGATATGTCCGGATCTGTATGGTACCTGAACACACACTTTCGGTATATTACAATAACAGATTTTTCTGTTGTTTTGACCTTCAAAACGGTTATTTCTTTCACTTGCGGCACCTTCGTTTTCACAAACTGCTCTGGTGAGTTCCGTGCTACACCGTCGCTGGCTCGCCGAGCAACCTCCGCTTTGTGCCAGCTGGGTGATTCGGGATTTTCCCGTTCCAGCAAATGGTTCGGCGGCAGTGTTCCAGGACGTGGTGGATTTTCACCTGGCAAGAGTTCTCCCCATAAAAAGCCACATATGTCCGTTTAGCAACACTGCGACGTGGCGCACGTGACTCGCCACTAAATAAAGTCACTGCCCCTTGCTTATTCCTGGAGAAGCATTATATTCCAGAAACTTTATGCTGTAATTCTGGGGAGCATTGGGCTCCTGTTTGCCAAAGGAACAACCGAAAGGCGTATGAACTGAGCAATTAGTCACCGGCTCCCATTGGGCACGATACCCTGAATTTGCTCCGCTGCCTTGCGGGGAGGCTATTCAGCCAAAGGCTCGGGGTGGTGTCCCCCTAAGTCAACACCCTACTTCGGCTTGGGCAACCCGATAGTAACTCGCCTTCTGACAAAACCATGGATTTTAATGTGTTGTGGTGTTTTCTTTTACTATTTCTGTACCTCCTTTTGGGTCCCATGGTTTCTGATGACTCTATGTCTATTCGTAGACTATTGCATATATATATATATATATATATATATATATATATATATATATATGTCCTGGGCGCGTTCTCCAGGCGACCGCTGGGTGGGTTTTATTACACCCTTCTCCCTGTTAAGATCCAGGACACCAACCAGCATGAGTCGGTTAACTGACCATGTGTAAGACACGCTGCCTTTCGGGTGTTCATTTAATCGAAGGCTTTGGCTGAGGGTCCGAGTCGTTCTGCTTTCAGGTAGGGGCACCCAGCCAGTAACCCAGTTCATTCTTTTCATAGGTTAGGAAGTAATCGATGACCCTCTTCCCTTAAAACCTTTCTATGGGAGACAACAAGTCTGCGGGTTATAAGCTCACAGCTCGATTGGCGTAGAGCACGAGCGCCACGCATTATCTATGACGGTGGGAGGGCAACTCCGGGCGTTCAATGATTTGCTACCGCCTGCCACAAGCTAGGCAGTCCCTGGTCAAATTGGAGCAAACCTACCAAAACTAATCTGCGTCTGGCCATGTGCGAAGATGTATCCTACTACCGTCGCAAACCACATATGAATCGTTTCAGTAACTAAAGGCTGCGTGTGACGGCCGTCAAGCAGATCCCAATCTGTATCTGCAATAAAATTCACGAGGTGGACCTGCTACGCACCTCCTTGTGGGTCAGGCTATTGAGGCAAAGGCTCCGGGTGGAGTCCCCCAAGCAAGCCTTTAAAGCACAACAACCACCTCGCGTGCGATTGCACACCAATACAATTGTATGCATGCGCGCAAAACACTCAGCATCGGCTGCTGCAACGTGCGCACACTACTGGGCCGGAAATCAAATGGGCGCCCGGAGCGACGCACTGCACTGGTCGCGATGGAGCTGGCGCGCTACCACATCGATATTGCGGCGCTCAGTGAAACCCGGCTCGCCCAGCAACATAAGTTGCATGAAGCAGGTGCTGGCTACACATTCTACTGGGTGGGCAATGCCGCCTCAGCACCACTTGAACACGCGGTCGCATTAGCAATATCCGATCGCCTCCATGGCCAGCCGGTAAGTGGAACAACAGGTATCAGCGGGCGACTGATGACTGTTCGCCAACAACTCTGAAGGGGTAAGTTTGCCACATTTATAAACACATACGGTCCGACCATGTGTTATCCTGACGACACGCCTGATCAATTCTACACTCAGCTATCCTCCGTCATACGGTCTGTGTCGAGGAGCCATTGACTATTTCTGCTGGGTGATTTCAACGCTCACGTTGAACGTGATGCATCGGTGTGGACATATGTTATCGGTCCGCATGGCATTGGTTCAGCGAATGTGCACGGTGACAGGCTGCTCTCACTGTAGGCCACTCACGACTGATGATCACGAACACTCGGTTTGCACTGAGTGCAAGTGATATAGCAACTTGAACGCACCCACGGAGTGGTTACGCTGACCTGCTCGACTATGTCATCGTACGTCAGCGTGATATGTGTGAAGTGTGCATGACACGTGTACTGCGTGGAGCTGAATGTGGCACTGATCACAAATTGGTGCGGACCAAACTGAACCTATATTTTCGTAAATCTATGTATTGCACTCCCGCCGTTAATCGGCATAAAGTTAACATCCTCTCCCTCGGTACTGTGGCGAAACGTATTGAGCTGTAGAAGGAGATATCTGAACGCCTGTGTAATGTGTAATGCGTGGCCACAGTGGCGATGTGTGGCATCACATTCGGGACCGGATGAAAGCTGCTGCCAAAGAGACTATCGGGCGCGCAAACTGTAAGCGGCCTGATTCGTCTGAAGAGAACAATGCGACGATTGACGCATTGGTGTGTGAGAAGAATGCAGCATTTGCTGCATATGTGGC